CTTCTGGCATCTCTGAATAGCACCGGGAAATTTTTTGTTTATCTTGAGAGAAGACGCTACATAGTCTCTCTTACTGCCTCTCACACTCTCTCTGTCCTTTTTTTTATATGTATCTTTTGTTCAAAGTGATGGACTTTCTGAGAGAAAAAATAATCTAAATTTCCAGCCAACACTGTTAACATGCCATCTTGTAAGAACTTCTCTTGGTGCTAATTGGCCAAGCTAATGACGAATGTGAATACAATATAAATCTCTTTCGCTCTCTCTCTCTTTGCATATGCTATTTGGTCATTTTTCTACATTTTCTCTCAATCAATATTTTGTTCTGTCTGTTGACTACTAACATTCAGATACGTCATTTCGTGACCTGATGCTATGATGTTTATCTGTTTGAATTTTATACGGCTATATAGATTGCAAACACAAAAAAAGGAGAGGCACAAATCGAAAAAAAAGAGGTTGCCGAGGGTAAAGGAATTCTTCACTTGTCTTCTGGCAATGCAGACTTTTCTAAGTTTTCGTGGCAAAGTAAAATGCCCGAAATTGAAAGATGCTTCACGGAAGATATGAAACTTGCTTGGAACATCTCACAGCCTGTCTGCATACGAATACCACAGGAATTTTTCGACCATGAATAAATTGCAATGCAAGTTGTGTTCCTTTTTTGACTGTTTGATCGTTTCATATGAAGCAGATGCAAAGTGGAAAACATGTAGTTTTCTCGCTGAAGAGAAAGGCAGACATGATTCATAGCAACTGGGATCATAGGCCACTGCTTTGCTGTGTGGCGAACTGCGTGTGCTGGAAAATGCTTCTAGAATCTTCTTTTTTCGTAGGATCTTTCATTAATATCATATTATTATTACTATTATTATTATTATTATTATTATTATTATTATTATTATTATTATCATCATCATCATCATCATCATCATCATCATTACTACTACTACTACTACTATTATTATTATTATTATTATTATTATTATTATTATTACTACTACTATTATTACTATTACTATTATTATTATTATTATTATTATTATTATTATTATTATTATTATTATTATTATTATTATTATTACTACTGCTACTATGATCTTATTGTGTCGTCTGATGTTTGGTGGACCATGAATCAGCGTAAGGGATGGTTCTTAAGCAGAAGAATTCGTTGAACTTTTCTATTGGAATTCTGAGCCATTATTGGTGGTTCTGACAAAATATTCTCCCTTGCATGAAAAAGAAGTTTCAAGATTTTGTCCATCTCTTTTTTGTTCGAAATCGTGCTTTCAAACTTGTATACATACGTAAGAATCAAGAATGATTAATTATTTTGCTGAAGTATGAATGTGCGGTATGGATAATGGATAAGCAAACATTTAGCAGGATTAGGAATCAAATGAACTTATATGGGTTTCTAATTAAAGGATATTTTTGCGTTTAATAGACATTACACTACAACAGCACTGTATTCTAGTTAAAGAAATTTATACCTCAATTTACTGTATTCTAAGTCATAAAGAAAATTGAACCCTGATGCGTCTTGGAGCATGGATTTGTGCATCCTATAGCTCTCGTTTGCCCAAATGTGCCCTTGTACTTGTTCGAATCCACTATTCACGTAAAATGAAATCGTAAAATCGGCACAAAATCAATTCTTATTAAAAATTTGAGCTCAGATCTGAGTATGATCTTCTGTAACAAGCTGAGAGGGTATAACATCGTAAAATAAATAAATGATTGGAACTCAATGAAATAGATTTGAATGGCTATTAGGATCTACCTATTTCTTTTGGCTTGTGCTTGTCTAGTTAGTCAATTTAGTTGGTCTTCAGAGATCCAATTAAGTATCTCACCCTAAGTATGATCCCTATTAGTAAATCTAATTAGTCACATTTTATGTTTGAGTTTTGATCCAATCCTTCATGAATAAAAATATTTGTCCCAATTAAAAACTGCATAGGAGTAAAATAAAACAACTTTTACAATATTGGGAAATAATGTAGAATTCTAAAGATAAATGCATTAAAATTCGGAAAGTAAGGATTAAAATCATAAACAATGTCAGAACTGGCCTCACGGAATTCTCATGGTACACTAATATTGGTAATCTTGTCACAACATATTATTATTTCTTATATGCATGAAAAACTTTACGGGCAGATAGTACAAAATCAAATAATTTATTTTTTTCTAAGAAAATATTCTAGGATTGTAGAAGGAACTATTCCCCGTTTTAACAGAACCAAGAAAAATATTCTTAAATGAGTTGCAAGAAAGAATCTATATTTTATCAGGTAACGAATACTTCTCACAAAAAAAAAGGAAAAAGAAATGAAATAAAATACCTCTTTGGAAATGAATACTTCGAAGTTCGAATACCATTCCTATGTACAGATTTACTATATGTAAAGATGTACAAATTTGTACAAAAGAGCGGGCTCCATAGATGAAGAGATTACTAAAGATGAATCCGGAATCATAAATGCAACAATTCTATGAACAAATTAGTTATTAGTATTGTTGTTGTTACATAATTAAAACAAGTACTCCATCCTTTTTTTAATAAGTGTCGTTTTAAAAAGTTGCACGGTAATTAAGAATAATTTTTTTGCCAATAATAACTCTCATTAATGAGAATAGGGATGGATGTTTTGAAAAAAGATGAAGAGTGAATATGAAAAGACAAGAGTAATAATGGAAAAATATGTACAAAAGATCCAAAACGTCATTTATTTGATTAATTGTTGATAAAGCCAAAATGACATTTATAAAAAAAAGAAGTAATATAAGGAATGCTTTTCTTTATGTAAAACTATGTTCAACTGATAGTTAGGCCTGCATATTACCACATCCATGTTACTTTTAATTTTTTTTCATTAAAAAAAAAACAAATTAATTTATATGAACATAATTCAAGAGAAAACTTAATACTACTAAAAAGAACATATATTTCATAAAATATAAATCCAAATTACCAAGATTTAAACAAGGGCTAAAGTCCCCTAGAGAACAATTAATGTTCCTTTCTTATTATCAAATTACACCCGTTTAAGAAAAATTAAAAAAACATGCTTCTCTCACCACACGATCCAAAATTTACATCTCAAGCACCATCCTTCATGGGAAAACTTGAGAAACTCGATTAAAAATATCGGTCACAATTGCAGAAAAAATGTTATTACGATGAATAAAAACTCATGGAATCTTTTTATCCGTGAAGAATCACTTATACCAAGTTATCAACTCATTCTGTAATATTTCCCATTTTGCCCCTTCTTTTGTTTTTAATTGAACCTCTGTTTCACATCTCCATATAAACCAGACAACCCTACTCATCCCTGCATGTCTCTGTCTATTATACATTACACATAGAAAAAAAAAAGAAAAAAAAAACATCTTCAATGGCTTTTGATAAAAACAAGAACGATAATTCCAACGATGGATCGAATTTTGTTCCCAAAACCATTTCAGACATTCTTAACAAAGCTTCGGAATTTTCCGACCAATCATCACCGGAGCTGGAATTTTCGGTCCGCTCGTTGGAAGACGAGATGAAGAAAGTCGACGCTTTCAAGCGCGAGCTTCCTCTCTGCATGCAGCTTTTGAAACATGGTCTCTCTTTCTTTCTTTTTTTTTTTTTCTCTCTGTCCCTACACAATTTTATTCTCTGTTTCCACTTTTCTTATTTTTCAATTCATTCATTTTGAAGGAATTGAGAGGTTGAAGAGAGCAGAATCCAGGCCGTCAGAGAGCAGTAATTCGGAGGGAGACGAAAGGGCAAAAATGTCAATAGACTTGAGCGAGAAGAGGAGCTGGATGAGCTCCGTCCAACTGTGGACCCCACCAGGCATTCAGTACGAAAACAGCTTCTTCACCACCCAAAATCAAGATTCCTTTTCCCTCCTAAAATCCGTTAGTACTCTTTACTTAATTTTATTATTATCTATTCATTTTTTTATTTATTAATGTTTATTTAATTTAATCTTTTTTTTCTAGAGGAAATGCGAACATGAGGAAAGCAGCAGGTTTATGAGGAACAGGGAAGGAGGGGCATTTTCGCCATTTAAGAAAAAACCGGGTTTGCCTGAACAGTTCAAGAAACAGAGGCGCTGCTGGTCGCCCGAGCTGCACAGACTATTCGTGGACGCGTTGCAGAATCTCGGTGGAGCCGAGGGTACGAAATTGTCTAATTTTAACCATTATTTGAAATTTTTCTTCATTTAATTTTGTAAAAAATTATAATTGAGTTTCTAGAGTTAAATGCAGTATGTTGGAATACATTTTACAATTTAATGGGTTAGTACTTAGTAATAGTTAACTAGAAAAAGTTAGATTGATATTCTAAATAGTATAAGTCATCTTTTTATGTAATTTGCATATAATATGTACAATCTCTTGCATTAACTGAAAGAAATGTTGTGAAATATTTCAGTGGCTACACCAAAGCAAATTCGAGAGCATATGAAAGTGGAGGGCCTTACAAATGATGAAGTGAAAAGTCATTTGCAGGTATAGACAGTGTATCCCTTAATTTTCACTTCACATATGACATTACCAAATATCTTGATCTTGAGACGGTTTTTGTTGTATTTTCTTTTTCCTTAGAAATACAGGATTCACGTCAGAAGGTTTTCGAGTGCGTCGCATGTTTAGCCAAAAGGGTGTCGGCCAAATTAAGGCGGTGCTAAAAACATGAATGAAGATGAGGTGTCTGAAAGCCATAGTTAGAAAGGTGAAGTTTTGAAACAAATTAATGGTAATATACATACTCAGAATTAATGTTAGAGCCGGACATTTGCAAGATGAAATTAAGAGAATTAGAGAATTGCTATTGAATTGTGTTATTTTGTACAATTATTACAAACGTTTTGCAATGGGTTAGAATTATGACAAACATATCTACATTTAAATTGTTGTGTTATTGGTCATACACAATGAATAAAACCCAACAGTGTAATCCATCCACTACTGTTTAAAATAGTTCAATACCATCGTGGAAACAAAAGAGCCAATTTGAGTTATGATATAAAGTAGATAGAGTTAGTGCAAAGTGGAAAAACACGTTCCTACATAGATCACAAGGGGATTCAAAGCAAAGGATCACTTGAGATTTTCCAACTGGGGAAATGTAGGCCACTGCTTTATTACCTTGTGGCGAGTCGATACTGCTTTATTCTATTTTATTTTTTCCCTGGTAGAATCTAATCCTTTTTTGGTGTTCTTTTATTTATTTATTTTATTTTTATGAATTTTTGGGGCTTGTCGTTTTGCCTGTTTTTAGAGTGGGTCATGTATCATGATGTAAGGAATAGGTACTTGGGTTACGAATTTCATAGAAAAGACGTGCAGAAAATAATGTGCCTTTGGTGGTGGTGTTTTGATAAAGTTTTGTGTCTTAATTCGGAGAATTTTTGGAGATTTTTCTTTTTCTTTTCTGTTTTCAAGTTACACATCTCTAAGTATTATAATGCTTTTTTTGGTTGGTGCTGTGTTAGACCGACGTAGTCTCTTAGTAAATATCTATATTCTTATTAGAAAATATCATGTTCTGTTTTTTGGTTGGTGTTGTGTTAGATCGACGTAGTCTTTTAGTAAATATCTATATTTTTATTAGAAAATATCACGTTTTGAAAACAACATAAACACAATTATGACATTTGATAATATAAGTTTCAATTTTTATTCAAATAATATGACAGATCAATTCGTCTAAGAGTTAGACCACCAATCACAAAAATTCGTGACCTTGCCAGATGATGAGATTAACTTCCTATGTTTGAATAATAATATCATATTAAAAAAAAAAAAAAAAGAACAGGCTTATTCTTTTTTCTAATTTTCTTTTCTATTGATTACTAGGAAACTTTGGCTGTGCAAGCACAGCCGGTCCATGGCGGCAAAGCGATGGGCCCACGGCTCTTTGAAGTATTTAGGAGTAGTATTGTTTGTCGATTGATCGGTTAAAGTTATGGGAATTGGCTAGTAGAGTGTGAAAATAAACATTAGTCTGAAATTGCACACATTACCAATAAAGTCAGCATAAGAAAGTGGCAGTTTACAAAAGATGTCATATGTTAAAACAGATTTACAGAATTGAGGAACATCTATTTGAAAATAGATGTTTACAATTCTGTTAAGTTTCAAAAAAGGCAAAAAGGATAAGTTTGATGGCTGCTATGTCAAACAAAAGTACAAAAGTCTGGTGTAAAGGATCTAATCCATTTTTGGGCGACTTTTCTTGGAAGGGCTTGTGGCAGTATTCTGTGTTGGTTGTAGTGTTGACCGGGTTGGAGTGAGCTACTAGTTTGTGTGGTGTCTTGCTGGGCGTCAAAGTTGATTCGTTTCTTGGTCGAGCTTTCTGGAGTGGGCACAGTTGGCGACTTTTCGATTTTGATGGCGACGGACTCAAGCACATTTTTAAGTGTTGGGCTGAAGAGATTTGGATCTGTTTCCTATTTTATGGGAATTATAAATTATTGTAATATATTTTTTCAGCATGAATTGGTAACTATAGAATTTATGTTGTAGTACCTTGGATGGGGCTGTTGTAGAACTTTCTTTTCCAGACGACTCTACTGTAGATGCATTTCCTTCAATCATCATCATTTGAATACTGTAAAGCTTGATAACTGTGTGGTAAGCAGATTCCGATTGTTTTACGAAGCAGACGACTTTGTGGCGTGCGACTGATGCGGCAATTTCTTTACTTAAATCACGACCCTGTATAGAAAATTTGATGCAATTGTTTAAAATTGCTTGAGTTATTTCTGTCTAAATGTTTTAAATTTAATAAATGAAATGACGATAAGGTTGATTAGATTTTTTTTATCGGTCGATAAAATATAAGTGAAGTTTAATAGTCTATGTTTAATTACCTAAAAATATTTTAGTTTTTTTGTTTATAGCAAATTTAAACAGTTGGCTGTAGTATGAAATTTAAAAGGGTGAGTAGTAAACTTATTTATGAATGAGCTAATATTTTATGCAGTAGTTATATTTCTTTTAAAAAAAGAAAAACTGAAAACAATAGTTGTAAAATTGTATATAATTGGTTTATGTATAAGTTGAAAATTGTATATGTTTAGAATGTATGCACCTGTTGGTCTGCCTCATATAGTTGATTGCCGCTATAAGTGATTAACAGTTCTGCATCCTCGCCATAAATTACAGCATTCATAGTTCCAGTTTGATCTTCGATTGTTATTGGCAAGCGGCACCTAATATATTTAAATAGTTTTTTGGATTAAGATCTAAGTTTATAATGATGCTTCTTTATTTACTGTAAACAAAAATGAAACAATACCGGGCTTCAACATGAGAGTCCTCGCGACAAATACGGCATTTCATTGGGGTGTTGGGGAGCATGTTATAATTCTTACGACAAATGTGACATGTGGTTGTCCACAAAGGCCTGTTGTCTTGAATGAATTTGATTTTTTCGCTAATCCAACAAGTTTTTACCTGGATCAATAGTTATAAAAATAAATAAATATGTAGTGGTGTTGTATAAATTCAGTAAATGTTTAGTGCTTACACTTCGCATTACTGCCACGGCATCCTGGACAGTGACTATAGCAGTAATTTCAGGCATTGGGATGAGTTTGTCTGTATTTTTGTATGTTTCTTCGTTCACAAGTTGTGTCACATGGTTTTTGTTGTCAATGTATCTGTTGAGTGTATGAGGATGTGAATCTAAATGTATTTAAACTGCTTATAGCTATATTAATAAACACAATTCAGTTTACCACTGCTTTAATTCAGCTGCTGCAGCCATTGGTGGATTTACCATTAAGCAGGCTCCCACTTTTGTAGACAATGACAGACCTGCAGACATGAATATAGTAAAAAAAAAAAATAGGGAAAAAGAACAAAAATGTCAGTTTTTGTTATTTTCAGTATTTTTTGTTATTTGTTATGGAAGTTCAAACTTTCATATATACCGTTAAATGTGGTAACTTTAATCCGCATAGCAAGAAGAACATTTCCAGCTGCTACTGTATTAGCTAAATGCAGACCTTCATCATTTTCAAATTGGTTCCACAATGTTAAAAGCATTGGTTTCTCCCTGCAAAACAATAAAAGCTAAGGCAAGAGTTTTAAGATATATTTGAATTAGTTTTTTAAAAAAAGTTCTTACTTTTGATTCACAATGACTCGGTCTCTTGTTTTGTTGTTTTTACCAAGATTCCTCACTGGGAAAGCATGCATAACAACTGCTAAAAGGCCTGTTATAATGAGCATTTTGTTAGTGAGCAGATAGGTTGAATTCTTTGTTGTTTGTTGAAAGGTAAAATAAGAGTAATTGGTTAATAAGTAATCCGTGTATGCATAATTTACTCACTTCTGGGGTTGTCTGTGTCTGTGTACTTGTGTATGTCTGTAAAAGTGTGGATATCAATGTCGCATGGAAGTTATGGAGGCAGGGACTCTTGGTATTCTTCGACATTAGTTCCCAAAACTATAAGCCAGTTGTATTTGTAGTCACTAACTTGATATAAAGGAACATCGGGCCGAACTTTTGCTCCAGATAGGTAGTATCTCTTGTATGGCATAAGAAGTTCATCAAACTCGTCAATAACAGCATTATAAGCAACCGCATAAACTTTTGTTCCCTGCAATTTAAAAGAAATTATCCACAGTAGAAAATATATTTATATTAGTCCGTATGTAATTTTGCGTTTAGATACACTATTATACACTTGTACCTCCTCATCTGTAAACAAATATCTACGGTAAAGCGTAGACGCATTGTTTTTGCTAGTCTGAACAGGTGGTCGTTGAACAACTTGAATTAGTGCAGTCCAGTTATTTGTTTCATCTGTAATCTGGTGAATCGGCAGATACACCCGTGACATTATGATCTGTGTATATTAAAAGTGACAGTGAAAAGATACATAAATTGAAATAATATTTATGATGATATATTATCAAAGTAATCTAAAAGAAATTACTGAGCCTATTTCTGAATCAGATTGAATACATAAGTAAGTACTTTGTGTTACTGCAGCTACATCAAGAACTTCATGGTATACGATGTTTTTTGTAACATCAATGCGTTGTGGATCAAAGAACGTGTTTGTTTATTTTTCTGATCTCTTCCTCTTTCAATTATTTTTGCTTTGCCCTTGATGGTACTGAAACTAACCGGAGAGGTATTTTTAGCTGTATGATCTGTTGTCTTACTAATAGTTTGTTTAGGTAATATTTGTTGTGTACAATAGAAAGGAGGTTTTATGACTTGGTAGTTCTGATATTGTACAACATCTATTGATTCGTATGCACACAAAGTAGTGGAATTATATAACATATTTTCATTAACAGTATTTTCAGAAGTGTACAACGGTAATAGACGCATATCCTGAGTTGCAAGTATAGCTTTTCTTTTTTTTTTTTCTTTCCATCTTTGAATAGCATAATAGCGATATCTTTTTTTAG